GATACAAATAATGTAATTTATAAAATTATATTACAGAAGTAAGACTAGAATGTTAAAAATATCCTATCCTTAGTAATTATCAACATCATTGTTCAATGATTTCAAATGACATACCAAAACTTTTGAATTCACGATTTCCAGCGTAGTTTTTTTCCTTTCTGCTTTTTGCCTCGATCCTCTTTCTGTCGTGCACTGAACGTTTTATTTTCGGCGACTTCTTATCACCACATTTTAACGAGCATACGTAGCAGTAAACTGTTTTGTTTGAAAAAAAAGATCAGCATAGAAATGCCTCATGCCTCGAAATTACAGGCTTGTTTCTCATTTAACGTCTTCGAAAACTATCGACACATTCTAATGTAACTTTTCGTACGTTCACTAGAAATCATTCATATTTATTATTTTTACTGATGCAATTCAGTACGTACTTTGCGTCGCTGTCTATGAATCAGAGTATTCATATAATCCTACGACGATTTATTCAATCATTTGTATAAAAAAAAATTAATTTTATTCACAACAGGCGACCAATCGTTTCCTTTCTCTTCCTCTAACTACAATCGAATTGTAAGACAATCTTCTCTAAGTTAAGAAGCTCTCTGCATTTCTAATTTACTATTATTCTCTTGCTAAATCAGTAATTTAAAAATTAGATGATTTATATTTTTAAAAAGAAAACTATGCCAGAAAATCTGCTCAGTAATTCTTACAATAAATTAAACTCCGATTGTTGGAGTTTGAGAAAGAAAAAAAGGAACGACTAGTCTTGCGAATATAATCGATTTCATACAAATTTAATTAGGATCACAATAGGATCGAGTTCGTTTGAAATAAAATCAAAGACAAGTTAATTCGAGGTGTGCGCGCTAGAATAAAAATCATTTCTCACGTCGAAGTCTATAAAATTAAAAAAAAAAAAGAAAAAAAAACAGACACATTTCTATAAAAATATTTATTCTAAAAAAATATTATTTCTAAAAATATTGAGGATTGATAAAACGTGTCAGTTCAATAGAACCAATGGAAAAGTCGTGTCAGATCAATTTCTCGCATCTCAACATACTCAATAAATCTACTTGTCCTTATATCACATAATTACATATATAATTTTCCCTGTCACCAATGAGGCATGTTAATACACTCACATGATCCTACTATAAAAGACTGATCGTTCAGAAATATTCTAAACCTAAATTTTTTTTTCACATTTGATTGTATTAAAATAGGAATTATATTATTATTATATTTCTGAGAAAAGAAAGGTTAATACTTGTTATAACATTGTTCCAAACGATTCTTAATGCCTCGATTCAATCCTAAGCAATTCACGACCACCTCGAATTCTGCATTATAGCATGTCGAATACATATGAATATACATATACCCGCAGATTCAACCTCAGGATCGTGAACGCACGTTCGGTGGTGGCTCTCTGGATTTTTTTTTTCAAAATTTGGCGTGTCCTGTCTGGCCGAAAACAGGTCCTGCTTTCTCAGGTCGCTGCATGGATGTTGTCCTTGGTAGATTGTTCTTGATCCAACTTCGTGACTCTGGAAGCACAGGGATAATTTTAGAGGAACGGTAATATAATTACGAGTATTTATCTAAAACTCCTTCGAAGCATCAATTAATGTCAGAACTACCAAAGTACTGAAATCCGTAATTTTTCAAAAGTAACTCTGTACGGAATTAATGCAATTCTTTTCAATCAGTTTGCATTCAATTTCGATCTTTTCATTCCAAGGATTTGCTTCATACTTTGATGTGTCCCAACAGATTCTATGAAATTTAAATAATTCAGTGAAATTTAAGAATTTAAAGAAATTTCATACATTCATTTATGCGTGAAATTCGTAATAATATTTATAAGTATATTTATAATATTTATAAAATATACAAATTATAAAAATTCCTTCTATAAGATATATAAAGCTTGTTATCAATTTTTTTCTTTGTCTTTCATTTCTCTCGTATAAAACTTTATATTTTTAGACACCGGTTGTTCTAACATCGAATGGAACATAATAAAGAACAATATAAATTATTGTTATGTTAATGAACGAAAGTTAACGTAACATTTTTCCTTTGTTTAATGTAAATGTAAATCGAAAATGACTGAGAGGACCTTCGAAATTATTCGAAACAAAAGTCGTGTAAAACATACTCCAAATATTATTAATTTGCTCGAAGAATCCATAACGTAATATTGTTCAATCCACATCAAATGTTTGGAATGTTCACTTTTGTAAGTGAAATAAACTTACAACTCTTTCAAGAAACAATGGTATTGTAATTATAACTTCGAATTTTGAACACAATTATTAATGTTTCAGTAGTGTGAAAGCATAACGCTATAATATATAGTAAAAAGAAAATACTTATTTATTATATAACGAAATATTTATGAATAACGAATAAAATATTTATTTGTTAGAAAAAGTTGCTAAAAAAATCTTTCAAATAAATAAAATAAATATAACAAGTATTACAATAACATTAATTTTCCACAAGAGGTTACTAATCAAATATCTTCGTCTACAATTGAAATTTTAACCAATTACGGTTAAAGAGCACATTGTTTCATATGATGAAGAAAAAAATTTTGCATGCGACCGAAAGGTTTCGTTGTTCATTTCGGCTTTTTCCATCTACTTTGTAAATAGCCTTTATTGTTGGAGGATTAGGGGTGTGTACGCAACATATACGGCCGTATCAGCGAAAGAAAGGAATGGTACAGATTCAGTCATCGTCAAATAAAGGAATGGAACTTTCCATCTGCATATTTTTAACTATTGATGTCTCTTGGGTGCCTATGTGTTTATTGAAGTTTAACGTAATGCTTGTTGAGATTAATGAAACGTTCTCGGAATGTTTTTGAAACAATATGTTACTAACCAGCGTGTTATGCCAGTTGTAAATATTTCAATTTCCTCGAGTGAATGATGAAAAAGTGTCGGGCGAATTCTCGGAATTTCCTTTTTTTTTATAATCTCAATATTGCGTTAACATTAATGGATTAATAAATCGAAGATTCTCGTTCAGTAGAAAACTGATTCCCCGTTGGAATTTTATAGATTTGCAACGTTGCATTTTTGAAGATAAAAAATTTTAGAATTGAATGAGTTTGCATTCCTTATTTATTGTTGTATTGCTTTCTATCTCGTTCTTTGCATAGTAATCAAACATTAAATCGTAATTTTACAGATTTAGAGTGATACATTTTTACAGATAACAATTTTGGAAATTTTAGAAGCTTTCTGTTCTTCATTGTACAGATAAGAATCTCAGAATATTATGTTACATTCATATTTTTCGTATATTAACCAGTTCTTATTTTTTACCATTTTTATATTATTAACACAAATTTCCAAAATTGCATCATACTGTATCATTTATATTATTTATTTGTATTCCTCTTGCTCCTATCAATTCTAATAATTTTATAAAATTCACAGGGATATGTATTTTTCGAGTAACAAAAATTCGAAAATTTGTAATCTGTATCATATTACTCCTTACACTACGTATTTACATACGTATTATTTTTTATTATTATACACATATTATTACTTATTATTAACGTTTTAAATTATTTTTCAAATTATTTTGTACTCTCGTACATTGATTATATAATCATTATATTATAAACTTCCTTTATGTTATATTAACTTCCAATATAATATTAACTTCCTATATATATTTTATATTACTCTATTATAAACTTTCCATTTCCCATTCTTTTCACTCTAATTTCTCTATTCCTCACTAAATTTCACGCTTCACTCATCCATTCGTTTGCTATTAAAACTACCAAAGAGTATCACTTTTACTTCGACACTGATTGCTGCATTACCTTGATAATCGACATTACATATTTATAAATGGGCAATTCTTCAGTCACAGACAAACGAGATATGAAGATACAAGATATGAAGATACAAACTGGAAGCTACAACACAATATGGAAACAACATTCCAGGGCAGGGGATTACGGATTTTTTTAAAAAAATAGAACGTAACGACGAGTGATTCCTTTTTTTTTTTTTTTTATTTACGACTCGCGCGATTCGCTTCGACAACCTGTTTCGCCCCCACCAAGGTGAGATTTGCATACACGTCGCAGGTGGCTTTTACGTTCGTCTGACTTTTAGCGCGAATTGTAGTTCGCGCGGCAGTCATGTGCGCTGCGTGCGTCTGTAAGCCACGCTTGTAACTCTCGCGTTTCATACAAATTAGTCTCCTACCTCTTGTTTTCTAGTGCAGGCTCGCATCACCCTCTCCCCCTTTGTTCCTCCTTTCTGCTTCTTACCCTTCTTCCACTGAGAGGAAAAATTAAAAAAAGCTGAAAAGCTTTGCTTTCTGTTTCTTCCATTGCGAATTTTCGCGTGTGGGTTTCTTGTTTCTTCGCTTCGACAGGAAATCGAAAGGGGAGAAAACAAGGGGATATTTAATGAATTCGTTGGTGAAGTGTAGAGGTAAGTTCGCGATGAAGCAGCACGTTGGCTTCTGGTGGAATTCCGGCACTTGTTGCATCTGCGAATTTCAGTTGTCAAGCTTCGAGTCTCGACGACTTCGTTCTAAAATTTGGAACTTTACATTTACATTCGCTATGTCGTATGCACGATGTAATATTAAATTTTAATACAGGATTTTAAAAGTCAGGATAAACTTTAGTGAAAGTTTTTTAATGAAATTTGTACTAACAGTAAGTCGTTAAGAAGTTTATGAAAGTCGATCCTTCAGGGATGATTTAGATTTTTTGATAATTTCTTGATAGAGTTACATTGTACTAACAATAATAATTAGGTAGATTTAATAATATTATTTCATAATTCTGAATGATTACATATTAAATCTATTCGTATATAATTATGAAATTTAGCAATATTAACTCCTGTAAAAAAGGGTGCGCAGGACAAACGTCCTCCGTGAGGGATTAATTTCCAAATAATATACTAAATTCATAAATATTGAAATTTTAAATCATCGAGTTCATGACAACTAATTTCAATCAATCTTACGAATTTCAGAAATATTAACATTTTCTCCACCGAGTAAATTAGAAAGTATTTGAAAAATTATTTAATTAAATAAAAACTTAAATAAACGAAATAATCCAGAAAATTGATAACTATTGACTTTAACGAGCTTGAAACAAGATGATTGTTGTCAAGATGATTATTCTGAATCAATTTCTCTCTGTCCTCCGAGATATTGTCGATAACATTATAATGAATCCTGGCTACATATTAAATGTAAGCTAACCCAAGCCCAATTCCACATACGCATGCAATATGCAAAAATCGGCTGATTTTTTTCGTAGTTGCATATCGGTTAACGCTAATGTCAGGCGATACATGTAATGTTGTTGGTTTCGAAAGATAAGAATTGGGTTTAGGTTGGATTGTAATTTGTCAATACTGACACATACACTGTCACAGATGCATAATTACAAGCAGAATTCATTATAGTGATAGTGATGTCCTTTTTTTTTTTTTCGGAATATTTCGGAAACCAAAGTCGAACGATGACGACATTGAGCACAGGGAAAAGTACTGTTCAGAATCATGCTACTGATAACATATTTCAAACTCTTTCAAATCCACGGAATGATCATCATTACCGAGTAAGTTAAGTTTAACTTATATTTATAAAAGGATTAAAAAAATTAAAATATTATACTGGAAGATTTAATTTAGATAAAGATTGAAGCATTTATTAAGCATTTAGTTTTATTTTGAGAATGTGCTGCATTCGTGTGTTTAATTATTTGCATTTGCTGTAAGATTGGCTTGAATTATAACAAAATGATAAATTTTTTTGGTGTTTCTTTAGGAAGAATTTTTAATTGGTTTTATTTTATTTTGTTGCCTTGAAATATTCCAAAATGTACTAAAAAATAATTTTAGTACATTTTTATTTATTATAAATGTACTAAAATTATACTATATATATATATATATAATTTTTTTACCTAAATTTTACAATAAATAGCAAAAGCGAATTTCTCTTTCTACATGACGAGTATACTCTGACGCTTAAGGGGTTAAACTGTGTGAAGTAAATTGCGAACAAAGTATGCAACTTGTGAAATTCGAGGCAGCCAGAAACAAACGATTAAACGACACGTTGCATGAAATCTTTGGAAATCTTTGGGAATCGTACCGCGGAATTTAAATCTAAAAGTCGATGGGGGACTAGAAAACTGAAAAGAATTGATCGCTGGAAACAGGAAAATGTGGGAAGTACAGTGTCGTAAACACGACGTAAGATAAGTTAGTGGAATTAACACATGAGTATTGTTTCTCCTTCCGTTTATCACGTTTGTCATGAACCGGGCTGCGGATAGCGAAGAAATCACGTATCGCGTGCGTCTCGAATTATTCCAAAAGTCACGTAAAATTTTCGCCTTTCTCGCCTCGTATCGAATTTACATGTGGGACGTTCGCACGAATGTAGGTTCGGGCAAATCTCAAATGAAAAGTTGGCGATAATAAACTGCTATTTTTGAATAATTTATTGTTGTTATTTTAAAAATAACAGAGTAGAGAAAAAGTAACTTTAAGTAACGTCTGAGTTAATTATTCGAGTAAAATAACGAATAATAATAATTGTAATCGAATAAATTATTTGAATAATCTTATGTCTGTTTGAACAAACGATGGATTTTTCTGGAAGTTATTTCATTATTTGCCTATCAAACACCGAGTCAAAACATTGAATGACGTGTTTAATCAGTTTTCAAATATTTCATTCAAATAATGTCCAAATCTCAGCCACACTTCGCGAAAATGCAAAGTGTGTTCGTCGGATATTTTTATTTCTTTAACTAATCCAGTTGCATTCAACAGAAAGATATATTAGCATACTAAGGCATAATAAATAATTCCTTCTGTTTCAAGTATTCAGTTTGAAAGCTTAAAATTAAATTACGAGACAGAGTAGAAAAGTTCTGACCAAATTTCAGAATGGAATTAAAATTGATAATTAATGGAACAAATACACTGCAGAATAAGTACGGTTCATAAGTGCAGATTCATATTTTCAAAAATGTAATTTACAAAAAAAAAAAAAAAAAATAGAGTCTCGGCGAAGAATTTCGTATTCTAAATGTTACACGAAACGCTGCAAATTATTTTACATATTTTTTTTCATTTTTACGTGAATTTTACACGTTTCTTACAAAATTTTTTATGAATGCATAAAAATTTGCAATTTGGCAATAAGTTAGTGTAGAGATTATCGCTTCTTCAGATATATCCACGCACATAAATACATATTAATGCTTTACAAATAAAAATTAAATTTTTTAAAAATTAGCTCCTTTTTACAAAAAAAAAA